AATAGGGGTAGTAAACTAGTAATGTAATATTACGAATAGTTGGTAAAGTATTAGAAATGAACCAAAGACTCCTCACTAAATTGTATTTACTGATAATATGTAGATACATATTTTAAAAATACGAATATTCGGATACCAATGATAATACTCTTGTACAGACATATAGTGTGTAGTATTCAAAACATTTTCGGAATATTGTTGTAAGATTTATAATTGCCCATATTAACCTATTTGAATGCTACATTTTTTTAAGCATTTGAGTATTTATTCTAAATAAATTTTGATTTACCCAAGAATGTAATCATGACATTATGATAGCCTGTACCTACATTATCAGATGAGCTTTGCATGTTTTGTAACGACCCCTCTAGATGTATACTTAAAGAAAAATATAAATTATTACAATAACACAATACATAATACACAATGCATGTATCACATTAGAGTGTCTGAAAAAAAGATAATATAATATTTCGTACCAATTAATCGTTTAATTTGCAATAAATGATAATAATCTATCATTTAAACTGTAATGATAAGATTATAATTCAACCTTAAGAAATACAAAGTATTTAAATTATTTTTTTAACATTTTAAATTTTTAGAATAGACAGGTACTATTTTTAAATTGAAATTCCTTGTATTTTTTAAAAGAAAGCCTGGTTCACAATAAAAAAATCCCGGTCCTCTGCCTATAATGTTTATGAATTCAACCCCGCTGACAACGTTTTCTTCAAAAAAAAAAAAATGTAAAATGATACTTTGCTATATTTCTTTTGTTTCTGCGTAGGTATGAACAGAAATTGAAATTTATTTTTACTTAAAATTCAATGTACGGTCATGAGAATGGCAGATAGACAGGAACGACGTGACTCTATAATAATACTTGTATTGTTAAAATGCTAAGATCGCTAAAAAATATTATATACTTCTCTGCATACATAATTTACGTTTATCATACGTGTTCAGAGTTAAATTATATGTGAAAACTAGCATTTTTTTACTATCAAGTAAAACCTTATTTTATTTTTGACTTGTCAATGGTTCGTCTTGAAAATATATTTAAAAAGACAATCATGATAGTATGGTCATAATTTGTGTTACCTGTTTATTATAACTGTTTATTTTAAAAACAAATAATATGATAATAATAATGTAAATTATATACATCATATACATATTAAATATGTTCAAAATTTAAATTTAAAATAAAGTGTTAATGTTGTTAAGTAATATAGATAACAATATTATTTATCATTATTTTAAAAATATTATGAATTTATCATGTTTTAGATTTTAGAACCTATATCTAGTGGTTTATTAGTTATTATGTACAAATTGTATTAAAAACAGTTTAGTTTATTTGTCATTTTTTTTGAGTTACAATAATTGTTATGAATGTAGGTGTGTAATTTATTTATCAGAAAATATTTCTTTGTTTTTTTCTGATATCCAATAATAATGTGGGTTATCTATGGCCATGGTGCCAAAATGTGCTAAAAAAAAGTTTAAATGATAGGTACATCTGAATCTTTAGTAACGATTAATTAAAAGACAAATTTGTTTGTTTCATTTAAATATTTTAATAAGCTTCAATTTTAACTGAAAATGATTATAAATGTATACTCACTAAGTATAAATAGATTGCAAGTAAGAAGCTGGTAGAAATAATTTAAAATTTAAATTGCAGTCTAATAATATTTTGTTTTTGACAAAAAATATAAAATTAACGTCCATTTTCAATTGAGAAGTTAAAAACGAGAAGATCACAGTGCAATGTCAATGTTAAAACACTGCGATAAAATGTGATAAAGAGTTTTTGCTTCAGCGGGCATAATATGAAACTAATGATCTTTTATGTTTTTTCACCATTTAACATTAACAAGTGATGAAACAAGTGAATCCGTTATTTTTCAAGAAACTTCAAGTTATTACGTTTGTTTCATCTAGGCAAATATTATAGTATTTTATAAATGATCATATTAAGCGTAAAGTTTAAGTTGCAAACAATAATTTACAGAGATATAATAATTTATGATATTATTAATTATGATAATGCATCATCAACCTTCTTTAATATCAATACAAAACCATCATGTACAACAATTAGCCAAACCTCAATTTGTAATTAAAATATAATTATTATTCAATAAAGATTACGTTTAATAATGTGAACTTTTATATTTTGTTAGTAAATAGTTTTTAAAATGTTTTCAAATATACTTTTGTTTTCTATCAATTATTTTATGAAATCCCTTAGATTTTGAAAGCCTGGCTTCTTGGACATTTCCGAGGTAATATATAAAATTGAATCATTAACTTACTATTTGATCTACAGCAAGTATTTATAGTATTCTGTATATTGCATATAATAAGTATATAAAATCATTTATATATATACACATATTCATGTTTATTTATGCTTACGTAGAATAATCCAGCTGTAAATAAATTATAATTGTTGTATTTGTTCAGATAACAAGGCGCCCCAGTGGTTGAGCCCAAATGTCTTGGCGCCGAGATGTCCTAGATTAACACAGAGTGGGTAAATTAGCTAGTGAATGGTTTCTCCTTTTGTTCCACCATATGTATTATTTTCTCACAATATGATAAAAAAAGGCATAGACGACAAGATTAATTATTATTTTATTATGAAAAAATATAATGTTTGAGAAATGCCTTCAATGAGAATACGGCAGAGTAGTATTTTAACTTTTGTTCTACATGTTTAACACAGAATATTATGTTTTCAAAGTGGACGAAAAATAAACTCAAATATAATTTTAACATTTTGTTTTCTAGGAACCAACTATTCAGTCTTTTTTGTTGGATACATTTTGTTGTTCTCAGAGTATCAAACTTTATTAAAACAAAAACTAATCTTCTGTGTCTTTCGGTATTCATACCTGAAGTTTACGATTTATTACAACGGTACTAAACTTTCATTGTTAAACTTTTTTTTTGTTATTATTATTTTTATATTGACTACGTAAGTACGATTTCACACAACGTTAAATTTAATATAGCAAGAAGATTTTATACCAAAAATCATTAAAATAAAACGCAATTTGATTTCAAAGTTAAAAATTAAATGATCAATCCAAAAAACGTCTTACTATTTTTATAATACAATAAACATTCAACAGTAAAGCTATAATAACAACTTAATAATTTATAATACAAGTATGTTAATTATTGTGTTGTAATTATAAAGTATTAATTACATTTTAAGATGATAATACTCTTGTTTTGTATAATAATATTTTATTACAATACTCATTTTCACTATTATAGGTATACTACAATATTTTAAACTATAATGTTGGTGACGATCGAATACATGACCTACAGCCTTATAGTACAGTACGTTAACTCTAGATTGATTTAAATATATTTACCTACGATCTACTTTTTTCAAGTTTAATGTAAAACATAATTATTTAACAAAATTGAACTTGCCACTTAAATAGTTTTTAAAAAATGATCACCAAAATAAAATAGGTTTGTAGAACATATTTTTCTATTCAGTCTTTTAGTTGATACGTTTTTCTTTCATGCCTATCAAACATTTTGTTTAAATATTATGCTCTGGGTTTTAGTGGCAAGATCTCAAACCACTCTTCTTAAAAATTTCGATTTAATGGTGGAGATGCAACATACTTTTTAATATTGTATCGTGATTACATTGTTCTCAGTATAGGTAATATATATATTGAGTATGAGTGCCCGTCTCCAGATCGATGAAAAAGTAATAGTGGTGAGTTCTAGAATCCATCTCATGAATATATCTGAGGTTTTCTAATGTTAAGTACACCCTACATTGACAACATTTTAACATAATATGTATTGTTATTCCAGTTTGTGGGTATTTCATTTTTAATGATTTGTAATAGAGTTTTCCGGTCACGTATTTTAGCGATAAAAAAGACCTTCTACCTGGGAGTCAGATTGTTGTCAACAAATTCCAAAGACCCATAGACCTTGAGACGTCTGCTTAATTTTTGTTTTCAGTTTTTATTTTCACCAGAACATTTTTTAATTTATCTTAATGGTTGATGATCTTCTCATTGAAATGCCCTTGTATGTACTTCTTCTTGCAATAAAATAGCGATTCCCCTTTTGAACAGTACAACCATGGCCAGCCATTGTTTTCTCTTTTTGAAAAACAATTCAGTGGAATGTCCCTAAATAAGTTGTTCTGATCAATGACTGTTGATTTTCTTCTACCAGTTTAACTAACAGTTTGGCTGATTGGAGTTAAATTAAACCATGACCAGGCTACATGGTAACATAATTTGGAATAACGCAAACCAATTACACTAGCTGTTATGAACTGTGTATCTACGTCAAAATATATTATCTCTACTAATTATCAATTGTTACGTTTTACAACTTTTTTTTTTGTACACAATAATAGAGCTTAATAATAATAATAATATACCTGTTTGGAAACAGTAGGGCCGTTAATAAAATGTTTACATAAATATAACATTAATTTATTTTGTAATTTATTATTCTATAAATTACTTAAATAATAATATTAGTGTTATTTAATATAGAATAAATAAACTTCATTTAAATATTCAAATAAAACAAAGAATAATATGTGAAAAGATGTTTAATATTTAAAAATATTATTTTAGTTTCAAAACATAAGATATGATTTGTAAAGATTGATTTCAAATAATTTTAGTATTTATTAATAATTAATAAGGTACTGTGAAAAATAAAAATATAAAATACGATGCATTGTTTAGCTCTACCTTACATGATATTATTATTCTCAATTTCCCGGAAAATTTATTAAATTCTTCAGAAATGGAATATTTTTTTTTATGTGATTTAAATGTGATTCAATTTTGATTAAAAAATAAAATAAGCGATTTGTTTTTTATCATTGGGTTTATTTGTATTTGTTATTTTAGTACTGTGAGTACGTATATGTAATTATTTTTCGTCCAAAGCCAGACATTTTGAAATAAAAATAATTATTACCATATTGTAATTTAACCATTACTCAGTAAGTACACAACATAATTTCAATAGCTCACTATTGTTATATATGTGCACACTATTATTTATTGAAATAATACGATATTTTGATAAATGATATCCAAGTCATGTAAATATATATATATATATGTCTAAATAGGCAACTTGATTGCATTAATATAATATGTAATATGTAACCTATGTATTTTTACAAAACTTTATTTGTGTCAATTCTGTGATGAACTTGATGCCAAACGTTTATGATGAAATTCCAAATGAAATTTGTCATATTAGTAACTGAAGTTGATGTATCGGTTGCACGTTCATAACGCAGACCATATCTGAAAACAATTTTACATAAATAAATCATTCAATACTTTCTAGTTACATGTTAATTTTATCAAAATAACTTAAAAGTTAAAACTATTTTACTTTTATTTTTTTTTTAAACAAATAAAATAATAATTACATTATACACTGATCAACATTTAAAGAATGCATACTTAATTGTAATTTTTTTTCCTATAGTGATTCTTGTGATGTTTTATAATTTTTTATTTTATTTCATGGGAACATTATAAAAATAATATTTTTCTGATTTAATTTGTGACAGTTTTAGTATGTACATTCTATAAGTTATTTCATAAAATGTTTATCAGAAAACTTTTTGTTTTGTAAATACAATAAAATAAATACATGAAACTTTCAATCTACCAATGATGCATATATGTTTTTCATTTTCTTATATTTTATTTATTGATTTGAATAAAATTATATTTATTAGCAAATGTTGAACAACACGATGGATCAACCAGGTATGAATAACCAAAATCGTATAGGTTTTTAAAATGCTGCTTGATTTTCTATTGTCTTTAAAAGCCTAAATGAAGCGAAGAAAAAGTTGGAAAGTAATGGGAAAAGACTATTGTAAAATGGTGTTTTCTTTTTATTATCTTTGTCAGTGAAAATACTGCTTTTTCCAGAGTTTTCTTTGACCCAATCCATCAATTGGAAATCCAGTATAGTTTGAACTCTGCAAATTTAATTTTCAGGAATAGTTTTTCTACACACGAAGAAGAACTATCGACCATCATGGAAACATTTTGAAGAAATATTAACAAACGTGGTTTTAACCGGGATTCACTTACACAATTCAATGATTTATTATTGCTTCCAGACATATATCACAGCACAGCATTATTGTGCGTTAATTAGATCAAAACCAGTCGATCGTCTATAAAATGCCCGAAACCGGGTAGTTCCATATATCCGGAACGGATTTTTTTAAATTTAATATTTTTATAGATGATAAGGTAAGGTTAGGTGTTGATACTTTGGTTTATTATTTCACAAATAAGTATAGAGATTTTTTCAAAACTATTCTTTGAAGTTGAACCAATCACAAATATTTTACGAATTGTTTGGATTCGATGTATAGAGCTACCTCATTTATTTTTGAGACTCGGCCAAAACTTTGTTTATAAATTAAGCACAAATATTATCTAAATAGTAAAAATAATAATAAAAATAAATAATTCTTGCAAAAAAAAACATTTAGTATACAATAATTAGATATTGTTCCCAATTCCCAATTTTGAAATAATAAAGGTTCAAGGGGGTTTAACACATTACGGTTTTTTTTTTTAATCTCACCATTTAACATAATAACTTAACTATATTATTTTTTTTTTAAATTAATTTGAAATTTGTGTTAGTTATAAGTTAATATTAATTATATAACTATGTGTCTCATGTATTACATAGATCTTGTACATTTTTTTAAATTATTAAGTAAACATTAAAAATGACTTCAAAACAGTTAAATTTGTTTCAAAAAAATATAATTTTGAGGTACTTTAACTCATTTTGTTTTGAAATTGTTTGGATCTTAAAAATTTATTTTATTTTTATGATTTTATGTTATCCAGTAGGTATAAAAAAATGAAAATTCTAGTATTTAGCAGACTATAGTCTATGGAACTAAGTACCTATGCAAATTAAATACTGTTATATTATATTTTGTGTATGGAATATGTTTAAAATAATAATTTATACTTTAAAGTTTAAGTTGAATTGCAAGCTATGATAATCAACCAAAGTTAATGTATGCTAGTCACCAACCGTATTTCCGCACTCCTCACCAACATATCCGGTATACATATTTGCTGTTCTGTTGACCACTGGAATCCCCAGCGACAAATACACTTGTAGCGTCCCGGAAGATTTATACAAATTTCAGACTTGTTATCACACAAATCAAAATTCTTAGTACACTCATTAACGTCAATACACATACTATACCTTAAAAAAGAAAATTATGATATACATATAGTATAAATATTATAATATTATATTATTGATAGCAATTTAAACTAACATAACGTTTTTAAATATATATTTATATATAAGTAGGAACGTATATTTTTAATTTGCTTAAAAACAAAAACACATCTCAAGTAAAGTATATAACATCAAAAAATGATTGGTTATAGTAAAATAATGAATGAGGTTTAATTATGTAAAATGTATGTATATATTTTCATAACAACGGTATTAAAATAATTATTCATTCAAATGGCTCTGTGCGCATTACTATTTAAACTCTTTACTTAATCCATAAATGATTTTGTTTTCTAAAAAAAAAAATATACGAAATATTCCCAAAATATATTACTAATCTCGGTAACTCGAAACATTTGGCACGGCCGATTAACTTATACGCCATGCGTAATTTAAAATATTCACCCAAGTACATTTACAGTAACTATTCGACGTATAAAGGACAAAACAAAAATACCATGGATAAAAATTACTTTCAATTTATATATATATTTACACACATACACTTAATACACTTACATACACTAGGTACATTTCTAACCTTGATTCCCATTCATATCCGGTATTGCAAGTGCATGACACATTCCATTCATTATATATGATAGATGGTAACCAGGTGTTATGGTTCCGAATGAATTTGCACTATTTATAAAAAAAATACATTTTTATTTTTATAATACGAATAATAGACATTTAAGATTATCAAATAAAAATTATGATTCTTAATTGTATTTTTAAAAAAATGTAATGCTTATGTTTTTCGACTATACATTTAAAAACAATTATAATATTATGTGTACGATACGCCAAATTAATATGGCATTCAATCAAATAAGAATTTAACAAATAGATAAACTTTTCTAAACTATCTACTATAATTTATTTAATTTAAAGAACCTTTAAATCGTTCGTAATTTGTAATTCAAGTATAGCATAATATACCTGTGAAATGCAAAACAAAATAAAAACATTTATTTACTTTATTATAATTGTGATGAAATACGATACACTTTTTTGATATCGTTTTTTTCTCAATGTATAATAAAAATAATTTCCATTGAACCATAAAGAAATTGTATGAAATATGTGTTGACTGTTGAATCTATTGAAAAAAGTCAATTGAAAATAAGCAACTAATGTAAAGCATAGATATAGAAAAAGAAATACAGATATAGTTAAATAACAAAAATTACTAATAAGATGGGTCACATTTATTTCTTTACAACTAAAAAAATACATTTAAGAGAATAAAGTTGTTACTTATGTCTTATACCTAATCATATTAACCCTTATAATATGAGATACGGCTACTAGTATATTATAGGTAGGTCAAGTTAGTTTTTATTTAAAATTACGTATATTGCATTTTTTTTTGCCTTTCTAAGTTTATCTCTGTGTGTAGCTTTATAGTTTTGCACGTTCGATATTTAATTAAGTGCTTTAATGTATATTCCAAATTTTAAATGTTGTTTTAAGGGAAAGAGGGTTCCTAAGCTAAAAAATAACCACATTTTTTATTTTCGGTGTACATAAGGTGTAGTAATGTAAATTCAACTTAAAGATGATAAAGTAAAAATATTGTTAAATACTGTGAGTATCATATTTATATATTTTTGAATATTAATTTCGCCATTTTGAAAGAAACAATTTTATTTATTTTTTCAATAATTATTGCCTTTTTTTCTATTACCATATCACGTGGTGTACCATTTAGTGGTATCTGATAACAATACAGAGACAGCTGCGAAAAAATGTTGATATATGTTTCATAATATTCATTAAAAAATTACAATTAATTTAAGGGGATACACAATATTTTTAATACTAAAAAAAATGTAGGTACTATTATGTAAAAATAGTTGATCCGGTCAATTTTTTACCTTGTAATTTCACCAGACTTACGTCTTTAGCATTTCATATATGTATTACAACATACGTATTAGATAAACTAAACTTACACTATTTGCCACCATAGAATTTCGACATGGATTCACGTCTTGACATTCTGTCGGATGCGCAGCCCGTCGTAAAGGGCAGCATTGGTCAGGACAAAAACTTTACAAGGCGCATTGATAAGGGACATTATTAATAGCTCGAAAATCATTTAACTTGTCAGCATTCTGACATTCTCCGATATCATCACAAGATTCGCTAAACCGTGACAGTAAAGTGATGTTCTGGAAAATCAATTCAATTTAACACCTACTCACGGAGAGTGTTTATAACTATAGTAATATCACTATAGGTAAATAATTTCATTATAAAATGTATAATTTAATTGTATGATATTCTTAACAGCAAGTGTGTTCATGTATTAATATTATTATATAAGTAATCAGATAAGACAAAGGAAACAGTCCATCCATTTATTAATTTAATACCAACTCCAACAGTTTGTTTTTACTTAACAAGAAAATTGTTTCATAGATAAATAAGAGACATTTAATAAAATGATGTGTCATAACATTTTAATCAACTATTTAAGTATTATACATGCATTTTCTAACTTAAATTATTATAACTAAATTAGATGTGAATTTGATGAATCTGATAATTATGTATATTTTCAAATAATTTATTTTTACATAAGCTACTAAAATCTATTTTCGGATTTTTCAAGATGGTATAATGATTTATATTATGTTTCTATCATTTTAATTTTAGATAGAAAAGACCGAGGCACTTGTTCTACACTTTTTATAATCTAGTGAACACCGTTCAGTGTACCACGTCATTGAGTCATAGAAATTGATATAATACATATTTTGAATTCAATGATACATCAGTGAAAATGATAAAAAATTAATCTGATCAGAGATAGAAATATGAAAAAATGTTTTTTGTATTTATGTATTTTAATATTAATAAATTGTCAGAAAAACCTATTAGATTCTTCAAGGTTAGGATATTTTTTTTTCTTTTGTGAAAATGTGACGAAACAATTCAATAATTTATTAACAATTATTTAAAGTGCCCTATATATTGCCTACATATTACGCCGTCATACATACATATTACATATCCACACACACACACACACACACACACATACATTGTGACTAACCTATTATTATATTATTAAGAACAATACATAATTGATAATAATATTCAATTTTTTTTAAATATGAAAACAGAAAAGAATACGTTTTGAATAACTTTTTATTTTACATTTTTGGAACATACAAGTTTTGTATAAGAAGTTAACATACCTGAATTTGAAATATTTTAGTGAGTTAAATAAATAGATAAAATTTTTTGTAAATAAAGTCATTGTAAAGTATTTGTCTACCGTACAAAATACTAATCTAACGAATATTACAATATTAATAACAATAACGAACACATTTTAATGTATTATATTACTATTAGTATCATTAAAATACTACAAATTATTAGGGTAAACACCATAATAATAGTTGTAAACTTTGAGTATAAATGAGGTTAATTAACAATGGAGTTTTCGGTAGCATGTATATTATCAGTTTATGTATTAGTAAATTAATTCGTTGTTCATGTTATTACAAGTCTAAATAATAATATAAAAATGGAATTTAATAAATTAAAGATGTACATTACATACAGGATGAATATTTTAACAGTAAAACTGTAAAAGATTATTTTTTACGTCAATTTTGTGTTCACCGGAAAAATACTTTCATATGATTTTAAGTAGGCACATACTTAGTATAAAACAACTATTTAATAAAAAAAAACTAAATTATAATTGTATTAATTTGAAATTGTATTTAATTGTTATTTATTAATTGTACAATGTACATATTGTGTTTTTTTAATTAATAAAATGAATACATAATTAAATATATTGTGACTTTATAACTGATTGAGGTTGACTGAGACGTAGATATATTCGTACAACATAACCAATGAATTACATTTTTCAGTCATTATAAAAAAAAATCGTTTCTATTCGGCATACAGCCAATTTTTGATTTCCTAAGAATTTTGGCAATCTAACTTAAAGAAGGAAAAACTACTAACACACACACACACACACACACACACACACACACACACACTTATTTCACGTATATATAATATTATTTGCAATACATGAAAACCATTCACCTGCATTGTATACCAGCACATGAAATAACTTGCTGTGACCCTCCATCGAAATCTATCCAACGGGCCACGAAAAGGTTCGGGCTTGGTCCAATCTAATGTTTTTAACCGTAAACATTCGTCATTAACCATACGAATATAACCACCATGTTTTTCTACCGTCCAGTTCATTTGTCGCATAATATAATCCGTAGACGAAGTTCTCTACAACAAATACAGATATACGCCAAAAATTCAAGTGAGTTCTTTAAAATGTATGACGATGATATTATTACTACCTATGATAAGTATTTATTTTACTAGTGTAGTTTTATCAGTATTTTTGTTTTATGTTGGTCATAAAAATAAAACGTTTCTTTCTCAGTTGTATTGTTATATATTATTTAATATTTATACATAGGACTTGCTACACATTTAGAAACATTGCCCATTGGTAAAAAGGGGTGAATAAGGACTAGTTATGATCAAAAATCATTTCGTCGTAGAATTTGCCGAATTTACTCTCACCATCATAACCTTAATCACGGGTTATTTTTATTCAGGGTAATTCACCAGGTATGATTTCTCATCTGTTTTTCTTTTATAATGAATTTATTTAAATTATTGTTTTTAGAATTTTTATACAACTTGAAGGCCATATTTTCAAATAATTTCATTTTTATTATATTTAAAGAGTGTCAAGTTTGTATCAGTACAAACTTGTTTCAAATGAGAAAACCTTTTTTAATGTAAATTTTTAAGCAGATGATAAAAAAAACATTTTGATGTATATTATACCTTCAGTAGGACCTTTTATTTTTAAAATAAATATAAATATGTAAATACGAATAGGTATAAACATAATATATACATTTAATTTTTTTTTACCTAACTTCTAAGTATATATAAATAGAAGCTAGATAAAATCCCGTCACTCTTATCACACTCAGCCAAAATATTATTAAAATATAATTTATAATTAGTTCTATCATGTATATTACGAGAATATTATAATTTGTATGTCGAAAGCTAATAAAAAAAAATAAAATATTGGGTTAATAAGTCACCCCACACTACCTACTGAAAGTTAATCGAAATTCCCACAGTTAGTCTGAATAATTAAACTTTATGTTCATTAAAATAGTCCACGGTATAGGTTTAAAGAAATTCAGACTATGATGATTTTTATACTAAAGTAATTAATTAATTATTTATGTTTTAGAAATAATAAATTATCACTTTATAATTATTAAAAATGTTCTGATCATTTTAAGTACTTGATATTACTTTTTAATAGTTATATTTAATATTTAATTAAAAAACATAAGTAAGGGTTCTTATTGTTAGTACAAACAGTTGAATAGCTCAGAAACTGATGGTCTGAATTACGAGATGGATGTATCAACATTTTCGTAAAGATCACCTCTTTAAAAATTATGTGTAAACAAATAGTTATAATTTGCAAATAAGCTGGTGAAAATGATTTATAATTTATTAGAAGATTTCTTATAATTTTTGTTTGGTCTTTTAACTGATATAGCGTATAGAAAGGAGCAGTGATTTGATTATTAAATATATATATGTATATATTATATCTAAACCGTAGTTTGCTTAGTCGACTACTGTTTTGACAGTTTGAGATTTCAGTAACTTTAAGTCCAAGTGTACATCTTGTCCAAGGATTTATTTTGTTGGAATACTAGAGAAGAGGCGGGTATCGGTTCTTCGTGATTCAAATCTTGTGATTGAGGGTGAAATTCATTTGGCAGGAATATTTGTCTATATATATAATATGTCCTGGTTTCATCATGATTTACTTATTTGGTAGTAAAGCCTGGATTCGATTTAATAAAAGAAATATCTGTAGGGTAATATCATTGGTACTTTTGTGATTGAGGTCGATTAGAATCTGGTCGATTCCTATTTTCTATACATTTGTGAACATGGGTTCATAAGAAAGTTGTTAAGTCTGGGTGTTTTTGTTAAACGAAAATCAATTTTGTCTTCGATAAATATAATTTATTATTTTGCTTTAGTTGTGGAACTTAAGGATTTTTATACTGTGGCAGTATGTGTCTGGTTTTGTAAAGTATTATGCGGTGACCGTAGTGTTCAATTCACGTAAATCAACAACTTACATGTGTATTGTATCAATATATAATTTAATTTAATTAATACATGAATATAAATAAATATCGTCATCGTCAGGTGGATAATAATATGAACTAATGAGGCAATCGGTATGTAGGGCAACAAAAGATAAGATGAGAGGCGAGCTTCTGTTTTTACATGTTACTTTTGCGAAGTGATAATGAAATATAATAATATATACTCATAGTATCCAAGGGGGATTTAAAATGGATTGACGTAATGACGTATATAATATTAATTAAATTTAAAAGTATAATTAGATTTTTTTTTGTGGAAACCTACTTACAAAAAAAATATGATATTCACCATTTCGAATTTAAAAAAAAAAAAACTAGAAGGAAGCAAAATTTGACTGAAAATTAGTGCACAATCCACCACAAATACTAAAATCTATTTAAACTGCACCCATATATTTGTATTACATTTTAAATTGGCTGAATTAGGACTACTGACTTTTCAATTAATTAAAATACTATGATTAATAATTTAAATAATTTAAATTAAAGAAATTTATTTGCTGGTTAGTAAGACGTGTCAAACGTACCTCATAGTTAAGTAGTTTCTTATTTCATTCAATAAGTAGTGTAACATTTTATTATAAAATATAGTACCTATAATTATTAATCATGCATGTAAATCATATTACCTGTAAATGTGTTTCAACCACGACGTCTTGCAAGTACTTTAAACAAATTAGAAAGTCTCGTGAACACTTTTCAAATACTTCCCAATGAAATGTTATCAAAGGAGGTATGGGAAACCGAGCATGAAAATATGAACTGTTTTCGTCATTTTTCACGTAAAACCTTGTTTTTAAAAAAAATTGTCATTAATATCATCTATTAATTATTATTTATTGTATTAAGTAATTTTAATCTGTAAAATTAAAAACAATAAAAAATTAGGTACAAATACTGTTCAATAATATTATTTAAAGTCGATAACTATTTTGCATTTTAATAGGTACTTTTAAGTGTTTTGTATTATCTTTGGAAGTATTCGAATTATTCAACTAAGAAATAGCTGTCTTTCGAGCTCTCTTTAGCTGCATAGTATGTTACAGCGCTTACAGTAGTCGGACAGCGATTTTCGTGGACTACCATGGTATCGCTTATAACAATTTTTTGGAAGTTTACATCTACATCTACATACATATTCGCTTGCTGCAATCTCCACACAGTTACCAGATTTGAGCCATAACGTGGTGCACATAAAAGTGAAAAATTGCTTCGAGGTGACAACATATTATAATACGTATAATGGAATATATTTAACCAAGCGAGTTGCATATTTATTTATGATATCCGGTAATAATATTATGTGAATCTACAATGTTTTTTTAGATAAAATATTTTGGTTGGGTGGTTTTATCATTAAAAATAACCATACTTTGATGAAATATCTCTACGGTACAACATTATGTTACAAATATAATTTTTTTACTCCCTGTTTATGTACACATTACGCATAGCTGCCTAAGTATTTTTTTATGAATCTTGTAGTTTTTTATTTTTTACGAAACTATAAGTATTAATTAAGCAAAAAAAAGTTTTAATAGTTTTTGTTATATTATAAACTGGAATTGTATTTATAATACATATATCTATATTTAACTTTATTATAGTTATTACGACTATAACAGTTCATAATTATGAGTTAATTGTGCAGTCTGCAATAAAAAAAAAAAAATATATTTTTTATTTAAAATAGAATATTTTTAATACTCACCAACAAAATATTTGATTTTACTTGAATTATAAATTGTGAACACATACAGCAAGAGTCACAAAATCGTACCTAACGGCGGAATCGGATAATAATATTTGTAATAGGAAATCGTAAATTCTCGGAGAACAAACCTAACTATATCATAACCGTGCTACGAAATATTGTAATTTAACCAAAAGCGGAATCCAAACGTTCCTACTGCTCACGTATGGACACTATTTCCTTTCGCTGCCGTGTACCCGGATATCGTATCCCATAATTCGCCGTTTTCCCGGACGTTCCTACCCCAGACAATTAAACTTATTTAAATAGGAAATGTAAACACGCCGGTCTGTATGTTATTACCATTTTGACCTGTACCACCGATACACCATACCAGACCATATTATAATGTTATAATAATATTATTGTTAATGCCGTTACCTCCTTAATTCGCCTTGCTTAAAGGATTATTACCATATGAGCCGTAAATATTAAAATCGTTAGGTAGGTACCTAAACATTAATTACTTTTAAACGGACTATATATTTTATCAAATGCTATTTAGAAGTGTTATTTAAATATGTGTTGTCGTAATTATAATATTTTCCCAAAAAACAATATTGATGAAAACGATTTTGTGGTGGACAAAAGGTATAATATACCATTAGTAGCTGGATAAAAGTGAAAATTAATTATAAATCGTGATCAATAACCACTCAAATTACATAATATGCTTTTATACTTTTTGTATTCCTTAATTTATTTATTACAAATATACAAGTACTTTATGATAGCTGTAAGCAAGTATATGCAGCTTATTTTAATTTTGAACTAAAACAGATGAATTAACTGCACTAAAATGAATAATGTTAAAACGCAATTAATTAGTTAATTATTTGAAGAGACTTATTTTATACTTAGTATAATTATTGCAAGTCTTAACCCCTTGTTGATGATTATCAGTGTACTCAATATTATATTAGGGTCTATATTTAATGCGACAACAACAACATTTTACTTTTGATTACATTTTGATAATCCTTTGTCGGGAAAAGAAAAGTACTATCAAACATATTATGTACGACGGTGTCATCCTTCCCCTCAATATTTATTTTCCATCAAAAAGTTCTTAAACTGTAAAAAATGAATATAACACGACACCTTTTTGAAATTTTAAAGTCAATAATAATACCTAGTACAAAAAGGAGTATTTTCTGTGGTTAACAATATAAATATTAGCTAACTAATGTTGTTTAATAATTATTGCCGTTTTATAAGCTTATCAAATTCAATTATATGGTATTTCTCCATCTATCTATTTATATATTTCATAAAAATAATATTATTCGTTAGTACTCGGTAATGGCGAAAACCAAAAAGCTATCAAAGCCATATTCAAATATTAGGTTAGTTTTGGCACTTCCGTTGTCTTTTGTTTTGGTTAGATACCGCAAAAAAAAAATTCTTTACGAGCTGTACATCGTTTACGGGTCTCCTAGTTATTTTACAATATATTTTATAACGGGGAGTCATACAAGACTAAGTGCACTTAGTCCGCAAGACTATTATTGTTCACCGTTGTGGATTTTAACCTGATTATACGTAATTTGACCTGTAGCATAATGTAGGTAGGTATATGTAAATAATATTTATTAACTATATCTGTCCACGTTCATAAATTCGTAATTATAACATACAATAGTAGGTACTTCGATAGTGTTGTGATTTAAGAGTTTAAAACTTTAAATATTGGAATATTAAAATATTAATTAAAAATAAAAAAAAAAAAATAATAATAATAATTAAAAATATATTTTAATATTGTATGTTATTAATAGATAATAATAATAACAATAAACAATGGTGTACTATTATTATAATACGACATAATATGCACTGTCAGTATTTTTTTATTATAAAATATTTAACGGTACTGTATTTATTTATTTTTTTTAACCTAAGACGTTATTTTTGAGCTTACCTTCGATCAAAGTCGTTAAACTTATGTAGCCTTAAATAAAATGCTACGTCCAGTACTGCTTCGTCAGCCCAAGTTTCTTCGACACCTACCCCCGCAATATTTTCTATGCCGTCCGAATAAAATATGTTATCGTCGACGAATTTCCCCCCTGGGAGGAGCGTTAGAACTACAACAAACGTGACCAACATGATAATACAAGTCACGCTACAATCATACACTACAATATTTTATTATATTGACGTAATAATATTAATATGTACGGTCAATCGTTTTTTTTTTTACAATGATGAATCGCCATGACAATGTCACACATACTGATTAAAATAGTATATTGTCCAATACTATTTATTAATATCAGCTCTAAATTACTAAATTACTCTTAATTATTGAATTGGTTAAGTTTGAGTTTATATTCGTTGTGATTAGGTACCTATACTATAATATTATATTAGGTATATTTTTCAAAATTGAAAATCTTAATAAATGGTCAAAACAATGGGACAAAAACAACTGCACAATAAAAAATACAAACAGTTGTATTCAATATAACATCCTATTTGTGGTCAGAATATGTAGTTTTAATCTGAATGAAATCTTAATTTTCATTCTTATATATTCAAAATGCATATAAGTATATAGGTATCATGTCAGAATATCCACAGTTCAGTCATTGTGAAATTCTCGATATTTTCGGTGGCCGCTTGATAATGATATTATGTCAATTCGAAGACAATAAATGACTAGAAATTCGATTCTTTTGGATATTGTTGTGCACTTGATCTTAAATTATTATTGTTGGTTTAGTTTTGGACTTTCCGTACACTTGATATTTTCAATAATTCGAGGTTATCGGTGGCCGATACTTCTGGGTATCGGCCATTTCGTTTTTAGTTTCGTGCACATTTCACATTTCGACGAATTTATTTAACCGGCTGACGGTGGTGACGGTGGTTTAGGTATCTATTACAACTATCTCATCGCCAGCGCGATATAATAAAAATCCGTTTACACGCGCTATCGGCCGCCGAGGATTACCATAAAATAAACTTAAGTGTGCAATAAAAGCTATATCGGTTGCGCTGCAGTGTTGGAGGTTATTCGTTAGCGTACGTATATTATAGTAGTGTGTGCGTGCGTGTGCGTGTGTGCGTGTGTGCGTGTGTGCGTGTGATCGTGTATATAGAAGGCGCCCAAGAGATTATCCATTAGAGACGCTGTATATCGCGAGTATCGTGCCGCTCGTCTGTGTATGTGTTGTACGTCCTTATGGCGCGCAAACTACCGGGGGCCCGGCTATTTGACACCGTGCCAACTAACCTGTATAAATAACGCGTGAGATTCGTGTCCCGCGGTGTATACTGCCGCTCAAACCCCGGTGGAGAGTATAAGGGTGGGCTGGGTTGGGGCTGATAATGGCCGTCTTCCGAAAGACGCTGGATATAACCGCGCATCCCTCCCGGAGATGGAAAAGAACGGCTGCTGCGGCAACGATATCATCCCTCGTCGTAGTCGTCGTCGTCGTCGTCGTCGTTGACCTAAATCTATATGCGGGCCGAGGCCTATATAATATAACTGGATGCGTGACATTACAGTGTTATAATATTATCTACGCTGCCGCCGAGAAAAATTCGATGCCAATAGTAATAGTTATCGATTACATGGCCGTCGTTATTTTTCCGGCGTGCGCCCGACCCGCGTCCGTTTTTTTGGCAGATTTAATTAGTCGTAAAGTGCACACACAGGTGTATACGCGACGGTACGCGATGATGGTAATTTCTCAACGAACAAGAGTGCAGGACCTGCCTAAAAGCCGACGTGGCATATGACTTTAAATAATATAATGCCATTACGACTGTCAGAATCCGTTTTCAAATATAAATAATTCATCATCATTAAAATATTATTATTCTGATCCTGCATCATTAGCTGCATCATGTGAACTGTGGAGTCTTACATTGATTTGTATAGTTGTAGCAAAAGTTTGTAAGCAAAAAAAAAAAAAAGATGGCGTTCATTGATTATGTTATATTCAAATATTCTATACGAGGAGCGAATAATGTAAACTACAATATAATATGCAAACATAAATAAATATTAATTTATTTTTATCACTTTTTAACATAATAATATTAACCTACAACGATATTCACTAAAAATACGTTATAATAATATAATCCCAAATATACGGTTTTAGTAATTGTACTTGAAAGAAGCGACCAAACTTTAATGGTTTAAGTATGAATTATTACTAGAAAATATATAATAATGTTACATTTAATATTTATGTTTCAAGTGGAAAAAAGACGAATAGTTTAACTAGAACAAATTTTTTTTTTAAAACTTCTTCCAGAGAAGAACTTTAACGAGATTTGCATATTTTACGAAAAATAATCTACTCAGAATCGTTTTAAAAAATGCAATGATTAATAATTTAAATTTGGTTCACTTATTATACCTGGTTATATTTACCCACCAACAATTCAATTCAAATGAGACTGAATCCTGGC